TTGTTTATAGTATATTGAATAGTATATTGTTTCATTGTATAGTTGTAGCCAGACGAACAGTATAGTGTTGTCATTGTTTAGTTGTAGCTAGACGAATATTAAGCGTTATAATTCCGTAACTTTATCGTTGACACACTGAGTGGGTATAATAAATTATGTTATTCATTTGGTTTTCGTCAGATAATAAAGTGAATATTGTTTAGTTCTAACCAGAGAATATTATGGTTGTTGTTTGTTTCTTTCTAAATAATAAATTATTTTAATTGTTTTGTTCTAGCTACAGTAATGGAAATGATTATGGAAGCAAGGAATAACAAGTACATAAAATGCAAATATCCAGGGATTATTGTATGAAAATTAACTGCAACAGAGTAAAATCACGTATTGATAGGTTACACTGTGAATGGCCGTCAGTCAGTCAATCAGACGCACCAACATAATATCTATAAAAGTAAAAGCAGTTATGCCATTCCCAGCAGTATTGTGACGATTGCACTCGAATTCTCAGGACAGAAACGGTACATAACAAACATGTTCAGATCAAAGTTTAGCTCACGAGCGCTACAACTCGGAATTTCATGTTTTAGTAGTGGCTGTATGGAAACTCTAAATATGTCATGTGAGACAAACATTGTTAGTAATTGATACGATCGAGTTAGAAAACTTAAATTCACCAGAAGTGATATTAGGTAATTCAGGGATTGCTCCTTACATGATACTCGACAATCCAATAGATATCTCGCCAATGCAATGTTACCACCAGAGTAGCAACATTCGCATTATCTATGGAAGACCTGATATAATATGACAGTTAGAAGGGGTGAAAAACAAAGGAATTTTAACTGAATTTAATTGAAATGTAAAGTTTGGCAGCCCCCCTCCATTAATCCGCGTATATGGAAAATAAAAATGTTTTCATTTATTTCACCATAAGATACAGTGGCCTCGATGGATGTGTATCTACTTTAAACCTACTTCTTACGAAAGATAATCAAACGGAAAGACATAAACGGGCACCTTACACCAATACAATTTGATTGACAAACAATCAACGATAGTTTCTTTATATTATAGTTAATGTATAACCTCTACAGCAAAGCATGATGGGGGGTCAATACAAGTATACGCTTGATTTCAGCAGTTACTCATCATGTCATTCCCTGAAGAACAAGACCTGCTGTTGAGCAGGGATTCATCTTCTAGCAAGACAGTGATCTCAAGCATGCAGCAACTATGGTGAAACGATACCTGGAAAGAATATTAGGACGGTGGAATACAGTTTGGCGTGTAAAAAGATCAGATATGAATATTATTAACGATGTCTAGGCTTATATGGAAACTTAGAGATTCAAATGGCAGCCAAACAGCTTGAATGAATTGTGTGTGCGAGAGGGGGAGGTAATATAGAAAATTTGGAACAATACTGCACAATTACACATTGATAAACTTATGGCAGAATTAAAAACTAAGTGGAACTACTGTGTTGAGAGTAAATACAAAATATCAGTTAATAGCACATCTTATTTGCTTAACTTTTGTATTTTCGGCATTAATGTATTGTACTAGAGAGCAGGTAACTAGTCAACATTACCCATCGTCAACTCTTGGTTTGAACATCACATTATAACGCCCTCACAGCTGAAAGAGCGAGCATGTTCTGTGATGGGGATTCTAACCTGCGAGTCGAGCGCCCTAACCACCAAACCAGGTCTATCGGTTTGGTTCTAACTAGATAAACAACGTAGTGGTCATTTTAATACTAGAAATAAACGACCTTAAAACTCCAAATTTTGTTATATTTCCTTAACTGAACACTCAACATGTTGCTTCACAGCTTTTATTTTTTAGGAACTTTCCACTAAAACACAAATCGTAACTGACAGTACAAAGCTTCAGGGTTTTAAGGTAGTTTATTCCTAGTATTGTCTTTTATAAGCCCGGGTGCGCTACAGAAATAAAGTAACGTAGTGGTCAGAGTTTTTTTTTTTCTAGTTAGATAATAAAATGGTATTCTTTAGTTTTAATTCAATAAAGAATTTTTCTTTCAGATAGCTACAGAAGGGTTATTTGCCCAACCCGTCCCTAATTTTGAAGTGTTAGGCTAGAAGGAAGGCAGCTAGTTTGTTTGTTTTTTTGAATT